ATCTCTGAAAATGTTCTCCTTCTCTTCCACACAGACATCAAACATGCAAAAGTCTATACAAGATCTTGATTCATTCTTTATTGATATTATTTTCTTAATCTCATTCACACTGCTCGTCCCTTTATTCAGACAGGGCTCATGCTTTCATTTGCTTTCCCTTTTATAGGGCTAAAGCATTCATTTTTTTTCCCTTTATCTATAGGGCTAATCATTTATTCATCCCTCTCGGGTGCGTCACAAGCTGCGTCCATCCATGCCAAGCCACATTTAAGTGATGGACAAAGAGGGTGCGCAGTTCTTAACCACCCAATACGGAATTTTTTTATTATTTTCTCATACATTCACCATCACTCATACGGACATTCACACGGACACAGACACAGTTTCAGTCTCATGCAACAAAACACTACACTCTATCTCGAGTGACCTGCAGTGCTCTCATTCTTTTACTGACAATTTCTCCCTTAACCCAGTAAAAAAATCAGTGCCCAGCAGGAATTTCTGCCTACCCGTGCAGCCCTTCATTATATAAGCAAAATTGCTTACCTATTCGGTGGCCACCGTTTGTCGTGTGCTGCTTGTCTCAGTCAGCCCAAAGTGGCCGTCCACTCCTCTGCTCTTTGCCAGTCCCTTCGTGGTCGCCAATTTGTGGTGTCTTCTGCTTCTCATCTTAGGAACCACACTCAGTCTTGTTTTTGATGCCAGGAGATACACTTTATTACATCATAAATGATAATAAATAATAAAGCGGAGATGGCTCTCTCTGCAGCGAACACATCTCCAGAATGATCATCTTGTCTTCTTTTTATACTGTTCTGACTTTAAGGCGTGGGGTATATATTCCATACAGTTTTTTCCATACATAGAATGGTTCCTTTGTGCATACAATTCTCTAGAGAGAAAGCCCCCCTCTCTAGTCTTGTTATGGTAAAGAAAAGACCCCACTTATGTTTCCCAGATGTTTCTAATCTTAGGTCTGCCACGTAGGCATGTTTTTACACACAGGCATATAGGATTATAATGGAAGTATAACTAGATATTTAAATGGCTATATTACTAATGATTACACTCGAACAATTCATCTTTTAACCAATAAAAATCTACCACAATAGTAGAACAATTTGTATTAATTTGTAATGATTTGCTGCTACCCGTCCGGTTTCCTATTTTTGAAAGAATAGTAAAAAAAAATACATTATTTCATCTGACAATTCAGGATGCCTTGATGGCATACAAATATTCACTTTTGCTGGTGGAAAAAGGCATAAAGTCTCTGAAAGAAACTTTAAAAGAAAATGCATAGCATCATTACATTTTAACATTACTCACATGGGGATTTTGAATTCCGCACAGAGATTCCGGAAAACACCATCTCCCCTTTCCTTCATGATCTTCAGGATCCTCCCCACTGAAAGAAACAAATAATTCCATCGTGTGGCATTTGGACGAATTAACTGCATACTACATTCCTCTTCCATCATCTCTGCAGCTTTGTTAGACTGGCCACTCTTGTTCCACAAGGCCCAACATTTGGAGAAGGATGATCTTATAACCTTTTGTATGTTTCATCCGATTGAGCAGTGTCAACATCCATGGTGGAAACCAGGTTCAGAAGATGGCAAGCACAACATTGATTCTTGGGCAAATGAAATTCAAGATCATCCTTGGCTAGAATTTCAGCAACCTCAACATATTCAATCTCCTCACATTTCTCCTCATCTTGAGTGTCAGATTCATCCTCATCTTCTGATGGGGTTGCTGTTGCACTTTCTGTATTGTAGCCGTGTATGTTCTCACCTCCATAGACACGGAAGGCTTTCAAAAAATTTGGGGCATTGTCTGTTATACAGACAACTTTTTCATGGATCTCAAATTCAGAGTGTATGTCATGTATCGCAGCTGCAAGTACATCAAACATGTGCAACCCCTTTAATTGTCGACAGGCAAGCGCTGCAGAGCATCGGTGTAGATTGTCTGGGTCAATCCAGTGCGCTGTCATACCTATAAAGCTGCGCCGCCTTGAACTCCAGCAATCAGTGGTTGTACAGATGTATTCCACCCCTCTCGTGGCTTCTGTTACACTTTTCTTCATTCCTCCTGCAGCTTCCTCCATCTTGGCACAGATGGTTGATCTTGATCGTACAGTAGAATTAGGCTCCAAGTCATGAATCAGGTCCTTAAATTCATCTTTTTCAACCAATCTAAAAGGTTGGAGACCATATACAATGAACCGCAGTACACCTTTATCAACGGTTGCTTGAGAAATTATCTTGGTCTCTCCAATTTTGAGTTGTTTCGTTAGTGGCTCCATATTTTTGCTCACAATCTTCCTCTTCTGTGCGATCGAGGTCAGGTCTGAGTAGTTTTTCAAGTGATTAGGATGTTTTCTCTGTATTAAAATTAAACAGAGGAGCAGTGTTATTTTTCAACTTAGTAAAATGCATATAAATTCAATGATAAATACATCACAAACTCACAGCTAAATACACCTGATGCACAATTTATAATCTGTTAGCAGACTTCCCATATTCAACATTCAAATGGATTAGATCATTAGATATCATTTCAGTGACTACATTCATTCACATTGCACTACAAATTTTAAACTAAAATATAGTCATGTCGCAGTGGTTTTTGCCATATCAGTAACTGTATTAACTTTTGGTATTGCTGACAAACAGCAAAGTTATGTTAACAAACATTATGCTGAAAATACCGTTGTAAAGTGAGACATGGTCTGTATAGATTGATTTGGCTAAATTCACATTAAATTACCATTAAATAGACTCTTACCTCAATGTGTTTCCTCAAATTTGACGATGAATTCTTAAAAGCACTTATTTTCGTGGTTCGTGGCAAACAAAGTAGACACTGCATCCTGTAAGAGTCATTCTGTACATCGGCAAATTAAAACATTTCTTTCAAATAAGGCCATGGATGGTCGTCAGTGCTGGCATTGCATGATGTGCTGGCTTCGGCTTCAACAGTGGCTAATTTATGTGAAACACCCGACATTCGACAAGCTGCTAATTCAGTAGCTTCATTTACTGCATAAAGGCAAATAGCATCCAGTACCTTCAATACCCTGCAGATGACGATATCGCCTCTTCCGCCCAAGAAATAAGCCAAGGCAGATAAAGTTTGCGATTTGTCGTGCACAATCGCAATGTAATGAGTAACGGTAAGTGTCAGTTCAAATGTAGTGGAGTAAAGAGTACA